GACAGTGCCATTAGTGGTCAAGGCATGTAAATGACTAGATGGATAGCAAAGAACGATCTTTCGAAACGATTATTGGGTTTCTCTACAAAGAAACTATTTCCCACTTACGTCAATGAGCTCCATGAAATGAATGTCAGCGCTTTTGAGCCACTTTGAAAGGCAACTTGAAACCATACCAAAGGTGCTCTTGTTCCCTAACCTGTTCGAAGAGAAAAGAAAACATGGAACTTGAATAAAAATCTCCATTTTTTTCCCTTTTTCGCCGCTGATTTACTGGTTAATCCGCCTTTCAAGACCAACTTCACGAAAGTCCAAGCTGGTGCCTCTTTGGTATGTAGTACGTCCAACCGAACTGCTTCATCATTTATTTGAACATTGGTCCGTTTCGATTTTTTTTCAAAAACTACTCTGTGAAAAATGAGAAAGAAAGACGGGTTTCGATACCAATGTCAATCATTTCTATTTTCAAAGTAGTGAAATTTCTTCTTGTGATCGATTGCCTTATTAGGTTGAGTACTGTCGATTCGCTATGGCTGCGTTCATACCTTACGACGACGTCGGCTATGTTGACGTTTCCCATGTTACCGGTGGACGGCTAATGCTGTTTGGACGCGCTCACTTTTGGCTGCGAGCTCATTTTTAAAGTGCCTAAATCACCAAATCCGCTGAAAACTTGTATATAGAGGTGATTTAATAGCGCTAATGGAGAACACTACAATTATCTGCCCTCTGCTAAAGCTGAACCCAGAAGATAATCGTAGTGTCCTCCATTAGCGCCAGCGCCAGGAATGAATGTCATATTTGTGAACAGGATGTTAGATTACCTCTACATACAAGTTTTCAGCAGATTTGGTGATCTAGGCACTTTAAAAATGAGCACGCAGCCAAAAGTCAGCGCGTTAAAACGGCATTAGCCCCGGCGACAACCTCAGGGCACATCGTTGTTGGGGAATCCCCAATAGGGGGTCGTATTTGGCCGCCAGGAGAGGGGGTCGTATTTGGGCTGGGAAAAATTTATTTTGATAGTTGATTTTTCTCGCTTCACGGACGTTGTAAAAAAGGGGGTCGTACTTGGTCATTGTTGGGAGGAGGAGGGGGTCGTATTCACGTTTTGGCGTTGTAGGAGTGGTGGTTGACTTTTCCGTGATTTTCCTGTTTCATGCGTACTATGTGCCCCCCCCCCCTCCACTCGACAGCAAAATTTTTGGGGAAACGTAGGGAACGGGATCGATGAGGAGGAACAGATGGCGGAGGGGGGGGGGGTCGTACCAACCCCAAAAAAAGGTGGGGTCGTACAGACTCGACTAAAATCCCCAACCAATGATGTGCCCTGGACAACCTTCTAAAGCCGAAGATGAATAATGATTACGTCAACACGTCGGATCGATACGTATAATAGTATTTAGTCGCCCATTACGTCGGTTACATCGATCACGGCGATTACGCCCGCTTGACACATATCTACTCTTCTGAACGTAGTGTCGAAGCGACGTCGTTTACGTCGCTTACGTCGGATCGATACGTATCCTTTCTCCGGAGTCGCCGGTTACGTCGGCAACGTCGTCGCAAGCTATGAACGCAGCCTATTACCCATTTATCGATATCTCTTCGGCGAAGATTTTGGAAAACTCGGAGCTTCAAATTCTGCGGTAGTTGATGCCATGAAAATTCTTGTGAAATAGCTAAAATGTGGGCTCAGTGGAGAGCAGCTGAAGTTGTCACAAGGTGACTGAAGTCCAAATCGGAATGTACCACTTTCGTCTTTGGTTGTAGAAGTGGAATACACAGAGCTCATTTACATGAAAAGTCAACTCACCTTCGGGAAGTAAAGGATTGCATAAGCCATTGGTGCATCCTAAGATAACTTTTTCGTATTGACTATTTCAATGGCGAATCACTAGAATTGGTTCGATCAAAGTAAAAGTTAAATTTCTCTCCTGTTCAATTCTCAAGGAAACCAAGGCCTACACTCCCATGGAGAAGATTTCAACGATTTACTGGCACCGTTCGAGAGTCTCGATTATCAGCGGAAAGCCACGTAATTTTTGATAGTATACTACGCGTTCTGACAGAGGCCATGCTCAAGAGATATAACAATGTTCGAGAAATGGACTTCTCGTGAATAGAACCCTAGCCAGAGTTGGCAGGATCTGGTAGGAAAAAGCGCTATTCCAGTCAAAACCATTATGACCGAATATATGACCGAATAACTCTCGACAAGGGAATGGTTTGAACTTCCCATGGAACTTTGAATGGAGACCTAGGTACATCGATAGAGCCTCGAATGCTGATTACGAATATGCAGATTAAAAGTGCTACGGGGACCTCCCAGACGAGATCTGGGTGGTCAAAGTTTGAGTTCTGGCTCGTAAGCGCTGCTGATCGATGCCTCGGCAGTGCCACCGTGGCCTCGTGGTAATGGTCTCGCTTTCAAGTCAAACGCATGCGGGTTTGCATCCGGTTGGCGCGAAAATTTTTGCTTCGCTCCGTATAAGAGCTTCAACTCTAATTTTCGAAATTCTTCCGAATTTACGGCCCAGCAGGGCAAGTCAGACTAACCGTACATCCAAGTATACGACCGCACTACCCTCAGAACTTCAATAGGTTATGAGTGTGGTCACCAAATCCTGCCTCTTTGAACATCATCTCACCCCATCGACACCATTCAAACCCTAGCGCAGAAACCTCACCCCAGTTCATCGAGATTTCTGACCCCTGCATCCGCAATATCCATCAATCCTCTCAGACGAGCAAAACCTCCCCGTCTAGGCCAAAGATCTGCGATTCCTCCGGCCAAAACCTCTGATTGACTCGATGCGTCAACATCATGCTCAGATACGGGCAGATCCAGTTGACCACACATCCCATACTCCACGCTCTCGACGCTTACGTCGGTCTATACCTTGATTCACATATGCATCCATACTTGCCCCTGTTGGGCCCGTAAATTGGAAGAACCTGGAAATTAGATTCGCACAGACTCTCTATACCGGACCGCGCAAAGCCAAAATTGTGCCGCCAACGACTGCCAAACCGGCTACTGCCTTCGCTTGAAAGTCGCCGATAATCATACCCGACGGCCACGCTCTTGTGCACCGTCAGACTGTTCCGCATCCACGCAGCCGCATTCACCGAAGCCACGAACTCCACAACCTGCTGACCGACCCCTCATCTGGGACGTCTCCCGTAGCACTTTTAATCTGCATATTCGTAATCAGCATTCGAGGCTCTATCGATGTACCTAGGTCTCCATTCAAAGTTCCATGGGAAGTTCAAACCATTCCCTTGTGAGTCTCAGTAGTAAGACAGTGCTGGAAACTTTTCAAGTAGAACCGAATAATGCGCACTCTGGACAGATGGGCAGTTCCGGCGCTTTCCTAGTTGTCCTGCCCTCTGAAACTCGAGCTATTTTCTGTCATGAAATCGATTTTTATACGTTTTCTTTTCCTAATTGAAACTGTGTAGATTTACAGAAAACTCGTTCACTTATTCATTTGTTCTGTTCATATTGTAGTGATAGGGATTCTTCAAGCACCATGAATGGACGGATGAGCAAGTGGACGAGTTCCACTGAGATCAGTGCCCTCACCTGAAACTATCTTCGTTGAACGGTTAAATAAATGCGTCACACAATTTTGTAGACAGAATCCCTGTCTAGATGGGTCAGCAGACAACAAATCATTCACGAATACTTCATTATTTCAAAGCCTTCTCACAAACTATACAAAGACAATAGTAGTGTTCTTCATACGTTGATATGAATGCAAGTAAAACAGAAGAATAATCAATTAAAAACAGCACATAAAAGCGAAAAATTTGTTATCTTCATACGTAATATGTATCACATACAAAATATAAGATTAACAAATACATTCACATGGAAACAGTTATCAAAATAAGGCAATGATAAACGAAAACACGTGGTTAGCTCTACTGAGTGCAAATCAAGAATAAGACAAAAGTCTAGAACAGTTCTAACGAAATCCGCATGGGAACATGGGATCATTGACAAAGAACAAGAGATGTTCGGCAACCATCGGGTTTCTCTTGGACAAGTCAAGCGGACTCAACTGGAATGGTCTGTCTGGTGCTTCTTCTTTGTTAAGAAACTCAATGTAATTTTCTTCCACCATTACTTCCAAGTTGCTATTCGAAACTTTCGGAAACGATACTCCTTTAAGGAGGAAGTTGGTAAAGATTTTTCCACGGATAACTTTTTGCTTCCCGCTTACCAGGCGCTGAAATGCAAGTGAACTTATTATTCTCGAAAAAAAAAGAATTGCGTTGAACT